TTACAGTCTTTATTTTACAGTTAAAATAAATGTTTATTAAATAAAGTCTAATGTTACAACTAATCATGGATCCCTTTAAAGGGATAATCCAACAGTTTTCTAGTGGTTTGATGAAATTTTAAACCATAGCTGTCGTTTCAGCAGGACTGAGGAGGTGAAGGCTTAACTAAAACCTTTGACAGTTTGAAGATTGGAGATCTTCAGGATAGAAAAGTCTCCACACCAGTTTTTACATTTCAAAGCTGCAACTCCACTTTAAAACGTGGTCATTGTGAAGTGACTGAAAAGGCTTTTATTGTGAAAGGCTGTGTATATATTTTTATTGCTCAGTTTTATTTATTAACACAGAAAACTGAACTGTTTGTGTTTTTATTTTATAATAAAGAACAAACTTGTAAAACCAGAATGGATGATTGAATCTGTTTTCCCCTCTTCTCTTGTGTTAGTAAAATATCTGCTGCACAATGAACAGATTTTAACAGAGTGAAGATGGCCGCCACAGCTCCTCTGCTTTAATTTCACAGATGACATATGTGTTTGTAGCTGAGAGTCAACATGAACTACAAGAGCCGACACATTCTGCACCGACTCTAACATGAGATGATGATATGTTGACCAAAACATAAACATCAGAAACTGAAATCACAGGAAGTGAATCTTTCACCTAGTTTACAATATTGAACATAAAAACCATTAAAGTTGAAAACACATTTTTTTGGTCCTGAGATGATGGCGGTCTGCAGATTACAGGTGGTCCTCCTCAATCAGCTCCTCTATCCGCACCAACACGCTCTCCATCATGTCAAACGTGTGCAGAGCTGAGCGCAGGGCCTGAAAACACGAGTTCAGATTGACCCGGTGCTCCGTGACTCGCATCATCTGAACATGAAGCAGAAACTGACCTGAGTCTGAGACTCTGGTGTCATCTGAGGCAGCGTCTCCCCTCCAACAGATACAGACAGGACGGACCCCTCTGAAAAACAAACAGGGTCAAAGGAAGGAGGACTGTGGGGTGTCGTTTGTAAAGTTATACAGTCAAAAATTACCACCAATATTTTGGTTTAATTTAGCCTTTTATAAGAAAAAAAAGAACAGATTTATTTTTCATAGTCAGTTTTTCACCATATGATTCATACATTTATAAATGTCAATTATAAACTAAATATTTAACTTACAAATTAAATA